AGCCTTCCTGCTCCTCTGATGCTGCTTGGCCTGCTGTGTTCATCCAGCTCTACACCTTGTTATCTCAGATTCTCCAGCATCTGCAGTTCCTACTATCTCTCTAACACTCAGTGTACACGGTTTCAATGGCCCCTACTTTAGTCAGAAGAGTTGTGTGATGTTACAAGAACAGAAACATTGGCAATAAAAGAGTTATTGGCGCTTCTATGTGCCAATCCAAGATATTATAATCAACATCCAAGCACACATCTAGGACAGGTGATACTTGATCTTCCTATTTCAGAAGCAGGAATGCCACCACATTGCCTAAGAGCCCAACCTCTTGCTTTTGACGTCCATGAGGCTTCCTTTCATAGTCAACAAATCCTAGAGTGGGTTCCTTATTCATATAGATTAAATTTTAATATGTTAAAAAAACACTGTTTAATGTGGATCAACCATGCTCAAGAGTGAGTGAACAGCCCCCTCGATATCTAATTCAGTCTTAGAAAAACAGTTAGGAATCAAACCTTTTGATCTCACTGATAAGTTTCATACCTGAGCTGCAGAGTTGGAAAATGGGCAAAACCTAACTCGCAACCAAAAAAGCTCAGGATTTTCTAGGTTAAAAGCAGGAGGAAAACCAACCAAGCTGCTCAGTTATAGTCTGAACCTGTCTTAACACACTCTATTGAATCTAATTGTCAGTTAATGCAGCAATGTGCTAGAACTCACAGTGAAGGGGAACATGTGTGGCTGAAGTGTGGCACTTGGTGGACTTAAGTGAGCAACAAAAGAGTTAAAGAGGTCTAGATGGTGCACAATGTAATGTTGTTATTGTGCAAAAGTCTATTAATGCAGAATATATAACTTCAGTAGCAAAACATAGAGTGGCTATTTACAAAAAATAAGAAAAGGCATGTTGCTCATATCTACTTTGTGTTTTTCCGTAACATAATTCCAGTGTGACTCCAGTCAAATGGCTCAAATAAAGGCCAGGATCTTTGAGAAAGATCCAACGGTATCTCATTTGAAAGCGCCTGTATAGCCCTCTGGATAATTGTTGGGTTGTAAAATTTCTGCCACTGAGTGGACCTAAATTCATGTTGAACCCTTAGTGGTATGGACATCCATCTGCCTCCAAGCATCCATTAGCCTCAGCACTCAGCACTAGAGGACACCAGGAGATTAATCCTGCCACAACAAATGAGATTGTGTCTGCAAGCTTTCAACTTCAAAGAGACGCACGAGTGTTGAGCAAAACCAGTCCTCGGTATATTCCTGTAGAAACCAGAGGGAAGATTTTTGAAGCAATCGGGTTGGGAGTGGGGTGCACAGATTGAAGATTGCACTCCCAGGAGATGCCTCTTGATCTTGAAACATGCTCCAATTTTTTAAGGTAGGGGTGTGTACTGGAGACAGAATAGTGAGTAAGTTGGGACAACCCTCTCGCCTCTAGTTAACAGCCTTGATTTGCTTGTTAATTTCCTTGATGAACTTGACAGTGGGTTAGTCAGAGCAAGCACGTAATTTTCAATCGATAAATGTGAACAGTTTGATGCACATATATGCACAGCAGTTGCATTCAGTTCAGAAGTTCAAATTTTTATTTGTAAAATGAAAACTTCAGGACCTGGAGCATCTAGCACTGGGCTATGCACATTACCCTTCATTTGTCCATTTGTTCATTGTTATACACAGTGAAGCTGCTGTTCTTCCAGCCCAAATAGAGCATTAAAATTTAAACATAGTGCCACATGGACTTGGAAATTATCCAGGTGTCAGGTTTCTGCCCATGAATTGATAAATCAAGTCCCAGAACTCAGGGTTGAGTCCTGAAGATTGTAAAATGCCTAAGTGGAAATTGATGAACTGTTCCTCCAGCCTGTGTTGGGTTTTACTGGAAGACTGCAGCCATCCTCAAACAGAAGTTTGATGCAGCATTGAGGTCAAAATATGCTGCATAATAAATAGTTTATTAATTACTTCATAGTCGAGGAACATTGAGAGAGAGCACAGGTGCATTGCGCAGCTGGCTGCACTTTTTTTTGTGCTCAACTTATTCCAACTTTCATACTAGTTGCTAAAAGTTTAATTCTTTGTGATTTTTGGTCATCCACAGATGTGTTGCAAATCTTCAGATATTGGATGGGGTTATCAGTATTATATTTGATCATTTTTCACTCGAGGTTTATTTCTTCTGTTTTTCCAGCCTCCTCTGACCAATCACAGCAGCGACCTTATTTAGGTGTTCGTGTGAAAGATCCTGTGAAGGAACTCCTTAAAAGGAAACGCAAAAACATTGAGAACACTAACACAACCACAAACAGCACAGTAAGTATTTAGGAGTTTTGCAGACTGCATTCAAAGTTGACGTTTTAAATGTCTATTAATCAACACTGTTCAGCATTTGCCAGGGTTGGAGGGTTTGAGCTACAGAGAGAGGCTGAATAGGCTGGGGTTATTTTCCCTGGAGTATCGGAAGATGAGGGGTGATTTTATGGAGGTTTATAAAATCATGAGGGGCATAGATAGGGTAAATAGATAATGTCTTTACCCCCGGGCATAGGTTTAAGGTGAGAGGGGAAAGATTTAAAAGGGACCTAAGGGACAACTTTTTCAGGCAGAGGGTGGCGCGTGTATGGAATGAGCTGCCAGGGGAAGTGGTGGAGGCTGGTACAATTATAACACTTAAAAGGTATCTGGATGGGTATACGAATAGAAAGGGTTTAGAGGGATATGGACCAAATGCTGATGAGATTTATTTCAGATATCAGGTTGACATGGATGAATTGGACCAAAGGGTCTGTTTCCATGCTCTACAGCTCTACGACTCTGAGTTATTGTTTGCCCCCTTATCCAAAGTCACTCCATTTGCTGCCAAGGAGCGTGCTGATTGGTTGACATGTGGACCCTCATTGGTAGAGTTGTTGACATGGAGAATCGAATAATTAATGATTATTAACAGTTAATTGCTAAATTTTAAAACAATTTAAATCAGACAGGTTAACCCTGATTGGTCAGACCTCCACATAGTGGAATCAACATGCATCAATACACAGACTCTTGCTCTTGGTAGAGAGAGAGAGAGAGAGAGAGAGAGAAAGAAAACGTGTATACACACTATGGCTGTGCCAACTCAACAAAATACATGACAGTCATTCACTGGTTCATTCCTCTGGGAAATGCCAGTCAGAGCCACGGATTAATCTGTTATCCTGAAGGGTCGCAAAACTAACAGGAAGTCATCTGTACACTAGCCTCATAAAATATAAAGAAAAAGAGGAAGACAGAGCCTTTCACAAACTCAGGATGTCCCATTTGCACTTTACATCCAATTTAAGTGTCACAATGTTGCAATGTTGACATTGTTGTGATGCGCAATACCTTTATAAGATGTATTTATCTTCTATATGTCTTTTTTTTTCAAATTGCAAGGTTGTCAGATGAGAACAAAGGCTGCTCAAAAATCTCTGAAGGAGCCAAAAGTTTAAAAGCTAATTTGACAATTTGGAAACAAATGTTTTTGTTGTTTTTGGCAATATCAATTTAGTCCTAGGGTAGGTGCTTTGATGTGTTTTACTCTTTCCTGAGGCATTTTGAATATTCTCATATTTTACCTGTCAGACCAGTTACATTATCAAGTCATATGTAACCACCGATCAGCAGTTCAAATCTTTAATCATTAGAGGTTTGTTCTGCATATGATTTCTATCTGGAAAAAGACTTCAGGATTCCAACTGGATTTTTGTAATATATTTGACTTAGGTCTCAAAACATCAGATCCTACTGTGTTGACTGTGTTGAATCCAGCCTGGTGTCACCTGCTCTTGAGGAACCATTTCCTTTCAATTTCTCAGATTACGAAAAGGATCACCTCCATTGACAGCACAATGAATATCAAAAATCACATTTGTACTCCTGCACAATATCTGAGACGCACAGTTTGGTCACATACATAGGTAGGGGTTCGCAATCTTCCAGGATTACAAATTAACCTCCTAGACACCCCAGGAGAAAACCATAGGGGCATTAAAAAAATAATGTCTTGTAATATTTCTCTGAACACTTTTACTTATAAAAACAATGGAGATGGGAAAAGGGGTTGTTGGATTAACAGTTAAGAATCAGAAATCAGATGAAGTCTGTTCACTTTACAATTACCGTGGGAAGGTTGCTGGACAGTGTTAAATAGCTATTCGTGAGACCATGGAAGATAAGGCCCTGGGACGTAAGAGATCAAATCAGGACCACCAGGAATACATCTATCCAGAGGTGACAACCACAAGATTTGTGAAAATAGTGAAGCTGTCCAATGTTTTTAAACATCGCAATCTGTATTTTGTACATGGGTTTTGTGGCGGACATTTTAGTTCCCTTTTCTTTGAACTATAAGTATCTTTGCTGGGCATCTGGACAAGCCTAACAAAAAAAAAATTGGAGCATTGGAATTTTTTGCTGGTAACCTAGTAATCTGATGACAGATTGTTTATGGCAAGACAGATAACAAAGCACAAAACTGGTAGCAAGCCAGTGGGAGTGCCAGTTGTTAGGAACTGGGAGAATTGTTAATGCTTTTATTATCAACATATTTATAGATGTTGTCACACATCTCTGAAGCACACAGAACTTGAACCCAGGCCTCCTGGCTCAGAATTAGGAAAACTACCACTGCACCATAAGAGATCCCTACTGGGAGAATTGTTTTTCCTTTCCTGCACTCATTTATGTGTCTGCTGTCATTGATACAAAGTGAATATAACCAGGCCAACCTTATTTCCATCCGACAGTATACTCCCTGTTCCTGGGGTCAGTACACTCGTGCACATAAACTAAACCAAATTGATGTGCAGCTAATGGAACGTAAACCTTACTCGCTGAGTACCCAGATCTGTTTGAAACTTGCAGTACCCGACATACAAGCATAGAGGGGAAAAAAATCGCAATTGTAAAACACTTCTCACAATCTCATAATGCCTCAAAGCACCTTACAGCCAATCAAACACTTCAGAAGTATAAAAGTGAAGTCACCATCGTCCCACTCCCTCTTTAGAGAGCAGCTATTCATTGTGAGTCTAAACTGAGGATCACAATGCTCAGGCAAGGGGCAAGGTGATCTCAGCCAGGGCGGGAATTGAACCTGTCATCTGCATTGCAAACCAACCATCCAGCCAACTTAGCTAACCAATGCCCTTGGAAGTGTAATCACTGTGAGAACTCAGGTAGCCAGTCATTGAGGGATCAAACACCAGAACTAACTCTTCATACACATGCAGGCTTATATTTATGGAGATACGCTTTACAATTTATGCATCTCCAATGCCTTTTTCAGTTGACTCCTTTACATTCGAGCACCAGAAATCTTCAATTAATACCCACAACCTGAAATCAATGATGCACAATAATTGTCATTGTTATAACGTAGAAAATAAGAAAAAGGATAAACACACAGCAATGTCACAGGAACAGGGGTGTGATAATTGCCAAATCATCTGCTTTATTAATAGTGATTGAGCAGTAAAAATTGACAAGAACACCAGAGGGGTCCTCCCCTGTTCTTCCTCAAAGTAGTTCTGGCGGAAATTTTACATCCACCTGAGGATGTAAATGGGATCCCACTCGAACGTCTCAGCTGAAAAATGGCATTCTTGACAGTGCAGTGCTCTCTCAGTACTGCACTGCAGTGTCAGCCTAGATATTTCTGCTCCAGTCTCCACAGTAGGATTTGAACCCCACCACCTTCAAACTCTGTCTGTGTAAGCTCACAGAACTGGTATCACTTAGTCTGACCACAAGTTTCAGAGTTCAGTAATGCCTGGCAAACACTGTAATTTTGGAACATAATAAAACAAAGAACACAGATTCTGGAGATCTGAAAGCACAAAGTCAGAAATTTCTGGAGAAATTCCGTGGGTATGAAGAGAAAACAGAGTTCACATTTCAAACCCACTGAGCTGTCTTCAGTTCTGAAGAAGGGTCGCTGAACTCGAAAAGTTAACATAGTAATTTAGGTATTTGTTTAAATGCTGTTTCATTTCTCAAAGACTGTATAAAATTACATTTTCACTTATTTTTCAAACACAACAGCTGAATTTACTATTTTCAGCAAGGCCACTAGATGGAGCTTCATGCTCTCCTGAAATATTTCCCATCGAAAAAGGGAATAAAGGTTTCCAACGTTGAGTTCCATTTGCAAATTCTCAATGGGCAAGGGAATGGTCTATGAAGACTTTTAAATACCAGGCTTTCTGGTCGCAAAGCAGCTTTAGCCAGCGTTTATGGCCAGTTCTCATACAAAGACAGTTCAATTCAAAGCAGGAGGCCAATCAGCACCATCCTGTTTATGCTAGCTACAAAGTTAACCTACTTTTTTCTAATTAGAAGAGAAAATGGAAAACACCACTTTTATGCTAGAGTGAAATACCAAATATTGATAAAGATAAAGATGCTTCTTTTAGTTTAAGGATTGATTTCATTTTTGTGTGGCAGTTGAGGTCTTTTGTAATGAAAATGGAATAAGTAAATTATTCTACTCCAGTGTATTTACAATATCTGTAGATAGTGACATTTACTAAGCTATCATAACCACATTGCCTGTTCGCAGCACCATTTCGAGACTTTCCAGTGTCACAGACTGGATGCATTATGTAACCTAGAAAACCAGAACTTAGGTTCAACTTAATTAAGTTACAATGTGGGTGTTTACAATCAACTTCAATGTCACTTTAATTTTAATAAATTGCCAACCAACCTATTAGGTGCATTTATTTTTAGTAACCGAGTCATTACTTTTTCCAAGAATGCAAACAAATTATCAATGAAAAATGGAAACAGAACTAAACAGACACATTCAGAAAGAGATAACAAGGTGTGGAGCTGGATAAACACAGCAGGCCAAGCAGCATTAAGATTAAATGTGACATTGAAGTTGATTGTAAACACCCACATTGTAACTTAATTAAGTTGAACCTAAGTTCTGGTTTTCTAGGTTACATAATGCATCCAGTCTGTGACACTGGAAAGTCTCAAATTGGTGCTGCGTGCAGGCAATGTGGTTATGATGGCTTAGTAAATGTCACTATCTACAGATATTGTAAATGCTCTGGAGTAGAATCATTTATTTATTCCATCTTCATTATAATAGAGGAGCATTCAGAAAGGTGCATTTTATGGTCTGTGCTTTCTGCAATATAGTCATAGTTGTGGTGTCACATGGCACAAACCAGTAGTTTTGCTTTTGCGAAAGCAAGTAAATTCTACGCCCCAGAGATTTTACAACTAGATAGGAACAGAGCTTAGCCATCAAACCCCTCAAGCACACCTTGCCTTTCAAT